GAGGAAAGGGGTGATGGCACAGAGTGGGAAAAAGAACATCACATTAGGATGCTACTGTTCAAATTATTTTCATGAGTAAACTTTGAAATTTAATTATCTTCCAGTGGCTTAAAGGCCTTCCTGGACTCCCACCATTTAAAAAAACACTTCTCAGGGTAACCTAAACAATCTAAAATTTTATAAAAGCTTTCAAAATGTTATGTGCAGTGCAATCCAAATTGCTTTTTCAAAGTAGTCTTTTCAAATAGAGTACGGGGAAATCAAAAGTAAACAATTCCTGATACATTCTTACTAAAAATAGTATTTTATTCATTAGTTTAGAAAACAGTTGTGTGTCCTCTGTATCCTGTGTACTAAGAACACAGTAAGGAATAATGGGATCATTTATGATCCCTACCCATGTAGAATTTTAATCCAGTATACAGGTTTTTGTTTTGTTTTGCTTTTTTATTTGTTTGGAGTTTACAGAGCATGCCCATATAATTTATCCATGATTGAAATATCACTACAGTTCAGTAAGGTTTCCCCATACTTGCAAATTGCTAGTCAGCAGAGATAAAATAAACCTGGGCCTATTTTCAGAATGAGAAGTATTCTCAACAGTTCATGCTCAGTAGACACTCTGCCCCTGGGCATGGGTTTTCACTAGAGAATCATTTGTCAGAGAAATCATCTATCAAATCATTCATAGCCGACTTTGGGGACTGGAGAGCAAGAGTCGGAACTCAGTGATAGAAAGATGGCATTTAGTGTTGGAATTTGTGAACAGATGTTTTCTATGTGGGTGGCCCTTGCTCAGCCTGTACGTTATTGGTATCATAGACAGCTGGATAGAGAGACAACAGTACCTCTGACTAAATATGTCTCTTGACTGTCAAGTTTCCTACCTTACATCATAATTCTATTCCTGTCATTATTACCTATTGCTCCCTCAAATGGTCTTCCACTTCCACTTCATTTGGTCTTTATGCCCACAGTACTGTTCATTGCACTCCAGGTAAACTCTAAACCACAGCTTTTTTAATTTATAAAAGCCAGAGGCCTGGGATGGTACCATACCAGGTTCTGATGGTTAAAATAGAATTGATGATTTTAGCCATTTAATTTCTGAAAAACAGGATCGTGTAGGTGGACGAGTTGCCACATTTCGCAAAGGAAACTATGTAGCTGATCTTGGAGCCATGGTAGTGACAGGTCTTGGTGAGTGGTTTTGTGCTGTATACATGGTCTGAGACTCATAAGATTGTTTAAACTTATATTGTAAATATATTGGTTTAGGACACTATTCTTAGTGTTAGTGAGAGGTAAACTGACAAATAGTCTTCCTGAAAGGATATGTCAATATGTGCAAAATTTAAATTGTACATGCACTTGGACTTAGCAGATCCAGTTCTAGGAAATTATCCTAAGAAAGTAGACAAGTGGGCCAGTTGTGTTTTGGAGCATTTGTAATGTGGCATAGCAGACATGAGAAACTACAGATTAGAAGATTAAATTGTTACATAGAACTACACAGCCACTAAAAATTATGTAGCTCCATATTAACACGAAATTGTGTCCACAATTTACTGCTAAATTGAAGATTACAAAACAATACATGTGTTATGATCCCGTTTGTGTGTGTGTATCTGTAATTTTATGCACTTAAAATCTAGAAGGACCTGTAATAAACTGTTAACTAACTTTTTGGGATTATAGGTAATTTTTTGCTTTCTTCTTTATGCTTATCTTATACATTTGTTTTATTTTGGCAGTTTTAAAAAATATGTAATACACATGCTCTAAGCTTAGAGTATTTTAAATTTTGAGTAAAAGTATTTTTTGCTTTGAGGTTTTTCTTCCTTTTTCATAGGTATGTTGAATTTAATCGTTTGAGTTTTTTCTAGGAGGGAATCCCATGGCTGTGGTCAGCAAACAAGTAAATATGGAACTGGCCAAGATCAAACAAAAATGTCCACTTTATGAAGCCAATGGACAAGCTGTAAGTTGAGGACAAACAGAACTTTTCAAAATTTCTTCGGTTCAGTTGAAAATGATTTTTTTGGAAATGTGTGGATGAGTATATTCACATATACATATGAACTGAGGGCAGAAATGATGTGACATTATTCTGATTGTTCCTTAACTCTGAGCTATGTAGGAAGGGGTCATTATTGCATATATGCAAATTTATATGCCTGTTTAAGCGTTTATCTTTAGACATTTAATGAAGGCTAGCTAGACAGTTAATCTTTTTATTTAGCTGTGGCCACCTACTCTAGGAGACCTGTACAATTGACACCTGATTCTTCATTTCTTTGTATTGTGCCTCCCATCGTGTGCTTTAGCTCCGTGTGCTCTTTATGACTTCGATTTTGTGTTTGTAGGCTCACGTTTTTAAAGGGCTAATAGCCAAATGGTGGTACTTAGCTAGATGCTTATGTTGGTATTTGTTGACCTAAGGCATAGGAGCTTCCTTTACTTAAGTATGGCAGTAGTATGGAAGTGATGTTCGGTATGGGGGAGTGAGAGTAATTTAACAATTGTATGATAGGTTTAGACAATGTAAGTCAGTCCTAATTTTTAGGGGTGAGTGAAATTCAAAAGTTTGTATTCAGCAGAAGTTTCACCAATTCCCCTACCAAAAGTGAGGGAGTCTGCAATTCTCAGGATAAAAGCACATTATCAACTTCATATTTTGAGGAAGGGAAGATTTGCTATGTATATGGCTGTTTAGCCATTGTTACTAAAAGTGGTGCGATCCCAACTCTTTAGTTTTGTGTGATAGGTCCCTTGTGACATCATCAACTATTCCTGTGTACCTTTAAGCTTTATGGGTTCATCTAAGAGAAGGGTAGACCTTCAGGGAATGCCTTGGTTCCCATTTCCACCATTCTGGATTCAAATTTCCTGCCAGGGCTTTTGGGGGAAGCCTTCTGGCAGAATGAACAAAATAGAACGAGAGAGAGAAAGGATGAAGTAGAGGTTAACTCAATAGTTCCATAACCTTTTACTACTCTTCAGAGACCTATAAAGGATATAGAGGTAAGATATTCCCTGCCATGTAAGATGTCACAGTGTAGTGGGACTTGTATGCAAATAATTTTTTTCCAACTTTTTATTATGGACACTTTCAAACATGTACAAAAGTAGCAAGAGAACTATAATGAGCTTCCAGTTTTTCATTGTGATCTTGTTTCATCTATGCAGCCCTCCCCCTTTTTTAAAAAAAGATTTTATTGGGGAATTGGGGGAGGGGAACAGCATTGTGGAATCAAGGAAGGAGAGCAGACAAGTTGCTGTCCTTTTGTTCTTCAGTCTAGTTGTGGAGGATGTGGCTTCACTGGCCCATGTTGGTATTATCATTGCGCTCTCTCTGGCTGAGGCAGATCGGTTGCTGGCCACTGGCCCCTGGACAGCGGCTCACGGCAGCTCACAGCAGCTGCTGGCCACTCATGCTGGCTGCCGGCCACTCACAGTAGCTCACAGCAGCCCCGCTGCAGGCTACGCCGTTGCCAGCGACTCCTGGCAGCCCAGCTCCAGTTTGAGCTGTTGTTCACCATCTTAGCTGTAGAGGGTGCAGCATCACTGGCCCTCATGTGAGATCTGAACCGGGGTCCTGCTGCTCAGAGCTCGTGCTCCCAAGCCAACTCTTAACCAACAAGCCACTCAGCCTGCCCAGCCCCCCCTTTTTTTTGGGTCTGGAGTATTTTAAAGCAAATCACAAGTCAGTCAGTCAACAAGTATGTATTGACTATTTGCCAAAATCTGGGCCCAATTCTAAGCACTGAAGATGTGTTCTCTGCCCTCAAGGGGCTTAAATTCTAGCCCTTTGACTCCAGATATCTTATGAACCCAAGAACATCAGGAATAACAGATGTCATTAAAATCTGTTCTCCCCCACCACCCCAAACATATTACTCATGCTTATTCCAGTAACACAAAGTCAAGGCAGGTTTGCCAAGAGTTACATAGAAGGATAAACTACTGAAGAGCCAAGAGACAGAGGGAAAGAGTCTCTGGGGGTGGGAGGGGCAAGGGTGGGGTGAGGTTGAGAGGGAAGGAGAGCATTTGTGAAGGTAGGACTTCAGAGTGTGGTTGTGGAGGGAAAGGCATTGGTGTTGGAGGCAGAGGGGGGTTTGAGTCTAAGAGGCCTCTGAAGGAGGACGGGTTAGACTGGTGAGGGTCCGATGATATAATATAAGCCAAAGGTTAGGGTGGAAGATGTTGCTTACTAGGCTGATACGTAGGATGGGACTTGAGAGGGTCTGGAGCAGGGGGAGTAACATGACCAGATAGGTGTTTTAGGGAGATAGACAGTAGTGTAGAGAATTAAGGAAGCAAGGCTTCTGAAGTGGATATTACATTAGTCCTCAAGCAGGAATGGAATCCAAACCGAAGGTTATCATTGACTATTGAGACACTTTCTTTTTCTTTAGACTTTCCTGAATGCAGAATGCCTAGTCTCATTTAATCTTTCTAACAGTAAAAAGAAAGCTTTTTTCTATAGAGATATCCAGAGAAATTGTCTGCTTTCTTGGTGTTAAATAAGATTTAACACATTTTTTAAAAAAAGCTGTTTCTAAATAAAATACTAGTATTCCCTTCAAGCATTGGCTGTAACCACTACCAATCCATGAACTAATGGTTGGTTACCAGTATGGGCTGAGATAAATAGCTGGCCCCAGAATGTAAAGAAACTACATCATTAACCACAGTTAGTTCCGATGATGACTTTTTTCCTACAGCAAAACTTTCTCATGAAGGAAATGGTGTGTTGTTTAGATTCTGGCATAAGCGCCTTATCTCACCAGGATCAGTCCTTGGAGTAGCACTGCAGTAAATAGCTATGAAACTGGTTTTCAGCATTTAGTATGCAGAGATATTTTTCCAAGTGACTTGTGGTTCAACTCTGGTCTTTATAAGGGATTTATAGTAAGGATTCTGTAAGCGTTTTCATATTTGGGGAGAAACCCTTCACAGCCTTGAGTCCCACTTGGCTTAAGCTAGTTGTACCTAAGAAGGTGTGCTAATGCTTCTGTATCTTGCTGTTCCCAGTAGTCTAGCTCAGAGTAGGAATGGACACCTGTGGACCAGAAGACTGGCTGATAGAACAAATACTAAGAGCTTACGTAGCCCTGTTAATTTATAATTACAAATATGTTTTGTGGCTTTAGAAATCTGAGTATTTGAGTTGCTTTGTTCTCCCATTTTGCAGGGGAAGAATCTAAAGCTCAGACATGCGTATGCCCAAGGTCATTCTAGTCAGTCAGTTGTAGAGCCAGAATCCATTGCCTGGGGTCCAGATTAAATTCTTATCCTTGTTAAGCTGTGCCTGACTGATATTTCAGAGAAGGTCGGGGGCATTGGTGTGTGCAACTCTAATGGCCTGTGTGCCTGCCTCAGCTGGGTCTCCTTCTTAGAGAGCTTTCTTTTAACAGTTACTCTGAGGAGGCCCCCCTAGAGTGGACATTTATTTACCCAGCCATTGATTTTTCTTCAGTAAACTGTCAAAAAGGTGGTGTCGTGTGCCTCTCCATTCTTTGTGGACAGCCTCAGTGGAAAAGAGGGTAATTTGATGGTTCTGTTATTAGTATGTAGAAATGAATTCTCATCCTGTACAAGGCCAGCAGTTAGCTCAGAGTTATAAATATCACTTGCAATATTGTCTTAAGGACATATCACCATACTCAGCCATTTTGCTGCTATAGGAACAAAATTACATAGCAAGTGGGTTTTGTTTTGTTATCTTGTTATTTTATCACAATCACAAGCATCCCTGAAAGTTTGCTTCCCTGTTCTCTGGTCCTGCATTGACAGCTAGAATGTTGAGCTTCTGTGTTTGTTTTTGTTAGAGGAAGCTTATTTTATAGTTCTGGATGAGTATTACAGGGTTTCCCTATTCGGTTCTAATATAAGATATCCCTATAAATAGAAGTATCTTCAAACTACGAAAACAATCCGCCAGTACAGCAGCTGCCCTCAGATTGCTGATGATGGTTATACTCTGGGAAATAGGGTAATTCATATTTCAGGAACATTTTGGGAGTCACCAGTGAGGGGACTGAAAACGTTGATTGTTGGGGGAGACAGGGTATATGACTGAATGTTTTCTGCATCTCCTGTACACCAGCTAGTAACTTGGGGTTGTAGATTCTAGTTTCGTTTTGCTTTCTTTTGAGTAATGAAAAGGTCCCTTAATCAAATTCCTGCAGTTCT